AGATATGCTAGAAGACGTTCTGAAATAGAAAAGTCCATTACGCATACCAGTCCGAAATGGTGGCATAGTATTGGTTATACGTTGTACTCTGGGTGTAGCAGCCACGGAAGTTAAATTGGACAAATAAACTTCATCGCACCCATAGAAAACAGGAGGAGAAGCGGTAAGTTAAGTACTAAGTGTGCCGGTTCTACTACTACTACTACTACTGAGTAGTAGGAGGTAAGTCGCATTGTTTTACACAATAGTGATGACGGCACGGTATCAGACAATCGTCGGACTGGATTAGGTTGTATCAGAATCCAATCCCAAGGAGGGGGAAGTATGTAGTCATGGAAGGTATGTAGGATTGAGATTTCAACACGACAGTATACATGATAGAGTGGATGATGAGAGGATTACGTCGTGAGATCCCTAGCCGGAAGCGTTAGGAAGGGAAGTCTGGAAGGACATTGATGTTGGAATTAAAATTTAGTTCCCGGTCAAGGTTACATTTTATACAAGACGCTCACGTTGGAAAGTGTCAAACGGGAAGAGTTACGGAGTTGGTAAGGTTCATTAGTAGGGACGGACACTGGAAGGCAACTACTAGTACTAGTCCCAACTCGGACTGGCGCCTTTCCCAGGCAGTAGCGCCGATCACTTGATTTAAAGTCGAATCCAACCTTCCACTCTTGCCCGCAACATATCATATCCTTCCCATTGGTCTATACCTTCTCATCGCTCATAGGCTTTCGTGGTGGTTGTTACACTCCCGACGATTATAAGCGAGCAAGAGTGAAACCTTTCGAACTCTCGTGTCCCCACCATCAGTTACCGTTTTATAGGAAGGTCTCCTGGCCAGGTCTTCCGTGGGTCCCCGGCTCTCTTTCCGCTGGCATTTCAGGTCTAGAACCCTGGGTATCCTCCTCGTGTCAGGTGGTTCTTCTAGAGTCAATTCTTTGCGTTGTGTATCTGAATGCCTGGGCATAGAAATGCCAGAGCGAATGGGCTCTGATGTTTCCCTGGCCTCTCGTTCATATACTTCAGCCGGGTTATTTCGGATAGGTCACCACCGTCTCATACGTCAAAACCATTGAGGATATTCTAATTCACACCCAAATTGACTTTGCGCTCGACCGGTGCACGCAGCCATGTCTGGTCAAAGTACAGTATGGGCTTGCCCTCGACCTTATTTAGCCTCTATCACAACTTGACTAGCCGGAAGCTTCCTAGGATCTACTACGTCAGCATGATAGTCTGTATGTAGTATGACTGTCCCAATCCGTCTGAGGGTTGGCCCTGTACACGGAGTTGGTGGTTATTGTAGCCCCCTTTGCCCTCACGGAAGGGAAATGCGAAAAATCTTTGCGCGTTCTTGTTCTTACTAGTGCCCACAAGGGGAGATTCTTCTCGTTCGCTGTATGTTCGATCATTCTGTGAGAGCACTCGTTTTTGTAACCCAATTCGCTCCCCTTGGCCGGTTGAATAAGCGTTGGGCACATTAGGTGAAGCCCTGCTGCCCCTGGCAAGTAACCGAGAGCAAAATGGCCGAGCAAGGCGGTGCCTCGAATGACGTGGAACGGGTAGCTCAAGCACCAGGATCTCAGGGTCGACTTTCTACCTCTGAGGGACGCGCATCTAGACGTATCTCCCGAGTGTCTTACAAGGAAGATTGGGCCAATCTTGACGAATATGGCAAGCTTGTCAAGTACGCATCGACCTACCGCGAGGGCGGTCGAGGCGATGAAACACAGGGAGAGGAAGAGGTGAGAAGAGTCTGGTATGCTCCCTGGAAGAAACGCAAGGTCCTCGTTCGACATGTGGAACAAGACAATGGCCAGTTCCCGGAAGATTGGCTACTCACCGACATCCATCAAGGTCTGTCCAGCAATGAGGTCTCAGATAGGCGTCGCAGAGCGGGATGGAACGAGCTGGTGTCGGAGAAGGAGAATCCCATCGCCAAGATCTTGTCATACTTTAGGGGCCCTATTTTGTATGGTAAGTCATATTGGCTTACATTAAGCGCGTTCCATTCCATTGAGCGATTCGTGCAACTGACCCATCGCAGTTATGGAGCTGGCTGTCCTTCTTGCAGCAGGTCTAGATGACTGGATCGATTTCGGTGTCATCATTGGTATCCTGTGTCTGAACGCGGCTGTCGGTTGGTACCAAGAGAAACAAGCTGCCGATGTTGTCGCCAGCCTCAAGGGAGATATTGCAATGAGGACAACAGTCGTCCGTGATGGCCAGGAACAGGAGATTCTGGCCCGCGAGCTCGTACCCGGTGATGTGGTATGTTCGGCAATCTCAAACTGACCTCTCTGAAGCCTGCGCTAGGGCACTGACACAGATGGCAGATTATAATTGGCGACGGCCAAGTTGTCCCCGCTGATGCACGGATAATTTGTGATGTGAACGATCCAAACGGATGGGAAGAATTCAAGACAATGCAACATCAGGGTGACCTAAGCAGCACATCCGAATCCGATATTGAAGAAGCTGAAGGTGAAAAGGAAAAGAACAAAGAAGGTGATAATGAAAAGCCACAGAAGCCCAAGAAGCGAGGTTACCCTATTCTGGCTTGTGATCATTCAGCTATCACTGGAGAGTCTCTGGCAGTTGATCGTTATATGGGCGAAATGATCTATTACACGACTGGGTGTAAGCGTGGGAAAGCATATGCCGTTGTACAGACTTCTGCAAAGCTCTCGTTCGTGGGTAGAACAGCGACCATGGTGCAGGCGGCCCAAGGTGCAGGCCATTTCGAAAAGGTCATGGATAACATCGGTACATCACTTCTCATTCTCGTCATGGCATGGATCCTGGCTGCATGGATTGGCGGTTTCTTCCGGCATATCCCAATTGCTTCCCCTCGCCAGCAAACGCTTCTCCACTATACCCTGGCTTTGCTGATTGTCGGTGTCCCCGTCGGCCTCCCCGTCGTTACAACCACTACTATGGCCGTAGGAGCAGCTTACCTTGCAAAGAAAAAGGCTATTGTGCAGAAGCTTACTGCAATTGAGTCGCTTGCGGTAGGTTAGCAGCGATATCTCCTGCCCCGACGAAAATGCTAATAACTCATTATAGGGCGTTGATGTCTTGTGTTCCGATAAAACCGGCACTCTTACAGCAAACAAGCTGAGCATTCGGAACCCATATGTGGCCGAAGGTGTGGATGTCGACTGGATGTTTGCCGTGGCAGTTTTAGCGTCGTCCCACAACATCGATTCGCTAGATCCGATTGACAAGGTTACTATTCTGACCCTTAGGCAGTACCCCAAGGCACGGGAGATTCTGCGCAGAGGATGGAAGACGGAAAAATTCCAACCATTTGACCCGGTTTCAAAGCGTATCGTGACCATCGCCAGTTGTGATGGAATCAGATATACCTGCACAAAGGGCGCACCCAAGGCTGTGCTCCAGTTGACAAACTGTCCTAAGCAGACTGCCGATTTGTACAAAGCCAAAGCGCAGGAATTTGCACACAGAGGCTTCCGCTCTCTGGGAGTTGCAGTCCAGAAAGAAGGAGAAGAATGGACCCTCCTCGGTATGCTGCCGATGTTTGATCCGCCCCGAGAGGACACCGCGCAAACAATCCACGAGGCACAGAATTTGGGCATCAGCGTCAAAATGCTTACAGGTGACGCATTAGCTATCGCTAAAGAGACTTGCAAAATGCTAGCCCTTGGAACCAAAGTATATAATTCAGACAAGCTCATTCATGGAGGGCTTAGCGGTGCAATGGCAGGAGACCTGGTGGAAAAAGCAGATGGTTTTGCAGAGGTCTTCCCTGAACACAAATTTCAAGTTGTTCAGATGCTTCAGGACCGAGGCCATCTCACTGCGATGACTGGTGACGGTGTTAATGATGCGCCTTCATTGAAGAAATCTGACTGCGGCATTGCAGTAGAAGGAGCTACAGAGGCAGCACAATCTGCTTCAGACATTGTCTTCTTGGAACCAGGCCTGTCAACAATCATTGATTCGATTAAAGTTGCTCGGCAAATTTTCCATCGCATGAAGGCATATATCCAATATCGTATTGCTCTCTGCTTGCATTTAGAGATCTACCTGGTCACGTCGATGATAATCATCAACGAGAGCATCCGTGTTGAGTTGGTGGTCTTCCTTGCTCTGTTCGCAGATCTTGCCACTGTTGCGGTTGCTTATGATAATGCATCGTTTGAGCTGCGGCCTGTGCAATGGCAACTTCCGAAGATCTGGTTCATTTCATGTCTGCTAGGCCTCTTGCTTGCCCTGGGGACTTGGGTAGTTCGCGGTACTATGTTCCTCCCGTCGGGTGGTATTATTCAAAACTGGGGCTCGATCCAAGAAGTGATCTTCCTCGAAGTTGCTCTCACAGAAAATTGGCTTATTTTCATCACGCGTGGCGCCGACACGTGGCCTTCAATCCACCTAGTTACCGCCATTCTGGGAGTGGACGTTTTGGCAACCATGTTCTGCTTGTTTGGTTGGTTCACGAACCAAGATATGCCCACCAGGCCCGCCGACAAATTCGTTGAAACAACGAATGGCTGGACTGATATTGTTACGGTGGTCCGAATCTGGGGCTACTCTCTGGGCGTGACCATTGTTATCGCATTGGTTTATTTCATGCTCAACAGGTTCAAATGGCTTGATGACCTGGGTCGAGAGAAGCGCGATAAGGGTGACCTTAAAATAGAAAATCTGCTTGGTCATCTTGCCCGCTTGACCGTCGAGTATGAGAGGCCTGGACAGCCGCCAGCTCGATTCTACTTGGCTGCTCCCAAGGAGGAAGAGGAGGTTGAGTAATAAAATTTCCCTGATATGACTTGCGCAAGCCTCAAGTAATGGTAATATGCAACATAATGATGGCGGTGGAGAAGTGTAAGCTCATGATAATAGGTATTGGATGGAGGGCTATACAAAATTTACAGATCATTAACCTTTTATCAATCACTAATGGTTTCATGACTTAGGGATTTTGTAGTTTAATTGGAAATACACCTAAGTACTGTCCTAAATCGGGGAAAGACTCCACGTCATACCTAACGTCCTTTAGATTAAAATCAAATTATACTGTTAAACGTATATCACAGAATGAAAGAGTTGATAAGAGGTCTCGTAAACCAGCGATGACAACTATCGGTGGCCATCGATCACATAGATCGATCACAGTCCTCTGGCCCGGTTATAGATCTTCTCCATATCATTGCCCATACGCTTCTCAACCTCCTTCACCAAGTCATCATCACGCTTGTCGATGGCCGCGTTAGATTCCTCCTTAGCCATTTCGACTGTGGCACATGTCAGCCTCGAACAACATGGTGAAATAGCAGGTGAAAGGAAAGAAAACATACCATGCGCAAAGACAGCAGCCTTCTTACCACTGAACATAGCATGAGGCACATTGGTGCTGTTATCACTGTTGCAGTCGCCAATAGCAAAGACACCAGGCACACTAGTCCTCATACCAGGGTTGGTAGTGGCATCGATCTTGTTGCCGAGCATAGCCAGACCCAGCTGTTTGGGAAGGTCCGACCGCTGCTCGCTGGGATAGTTGGTGATGAAAGCATTACGATCAACAGACGAGCCATTGGTGAAATGAACACGGAAGATATCAATCTGTCTGGTACCGTTCCTGTCCTTTACCTGGCTACCGTCCTGAATACGCTCGAAGGATGCGATTGTTTCGTTCTCCAGACGCACATTGTACGCCTCCAGCTGTGCCTCCCAGTTGGGGTATTTCTTCGCCAACTCGGCCTCCTGGTCCGGCGTCTGCGTACCGTTCACGAAAGCAATGATATCCGTGTTCAGGGTGTATACTTCCAATACGCTGCCGACGACATCCGGGAGCGCGCCCAGGATACCGAATGGCTGGTCCCGATGCTCATATCCGTCACACCAAGGGCACCAGTAAACGCCATTTGCCCAGGCTTCCTGCAGACCCGGTACGTCGGGGAGGATATCTACGAGACCCGTGCCCAGGACGACTTTGCGGGCGGTGTACGCCTTGCCGTCGGCGTCTTGGGCGCGGAAGTACGAGGTGTTGGAGGCCTCGTCAGACACAGTCTCGATAGTGTTGACTCTCTTGTCGATGAAGGTTGCGGTGTCGTACCGGGAAATCTGCTCGCGGGCCAGACCGCGGAATTCGCTGGGCACGGTGCCTTTGGTCCATGGTATGTCAGTCCAGCCCCTGTAAATACTTCCGGAAGAGGTTTGATTTGGTAGATTGGGGGTGCGGAGTGGGGTCTGTCCATACCATCATTGCCGATCACATCGTGCATGTTACGAGTAGCAGCATTGCGATATTCATGGGAGTCGAAGAGAGCCGTCTTGCGTCTTACACGGGATAAACCGCTAAGCGCAGAGAGACCTGCAGGGCCACCTCCCACGACAATAACTTCATAGTCTGTTTGAGGGACGGATGCCGCGAGGGCAACGGTGAGGGAGGAGAAAAGGGTGTAAAAAAGAGACTTAGGAGCCATGTTGAGCGAGCGATTAATACTCGATGGCGAGGAATGATAGACGGCAGAAAGAAGGGAGGGGATTCATAAATGGTTTAAATAATGTCAAAAGCATCTGAGCAGGATTCAGCTGCGCATGCCCACTAGGTGCCTAGCTGAGAAAGATCATCATGCATTGCATGCTGCCAAGAGCAGGCAAACCCACTGTATGGCTAAAAAAACCTAGTGATACGACATAGGACCACCGCATTGCATGTCCATGCATTTCGGAGAACAATGGATTGCTCGGTATTCCTTGGGGTCAACTGAAGGGAGGGGTCGTGCATATGCAGGATTTGTTGTTTCTGCATGTCGAGGGCTTTTGGTGGTTTGAACAGCCCAATTAGCGGAGGATGTGGAATAGTTCGCGACGACCCTTTAATCTAGAGAATGTAAAATTTTAGTCAAGATATCTAGGAGTGGATATTGAGGCGAGCTGAATCAGATCGAGAACAAGGAGGATCGGCAGGACGGAGAATCAATAGTTCATGCATTAGGGCGGATCCTGATGCGCTAATTTCTGCATCCTTTGAGGAAGGAATTGGGATCTGAATTCCTTGATTGTTTTGGTTCTTGACCTGGGCTGAAAAGCACCCTCGGTGATTGAAGCGAATCATTGGATTGTTACGTGCAGAAGTACATGGTAATCGATTGATGTTGTCCAGGGCGGAGGGTGTGATGGACGAGAAATGAGTTGCATGAGCTTGAAGGGCCTCCATATCGCACCACGTGCCGAGTGTTTGCCCTAACTCTTGTAACTTGTAAGGGATAAAGTGATTAAATTGTTGGAAGTATCAGGCCGAGACAACAAAATTAATGCCCTCACTTCTTACTTTATATACATACACCTTCCCGTCCGCCAAGCCGACTAACAGACACAAAAATATAAACATCGAACTCCTAGCTTAATGTAAACATGTGCAACATAAAGATAAATAATGCGGGCCATTATAATCTACCGGCCTATGACAGGATAAAATGATGGAAGACGAAATCCATGGCGCAAAAGGTGTGCTGTGGAGTTTCTTAGAGCGCCTTTCACGCCATCCAAGAAACCCTTGTTGCCATAGGCCTGACTAACATCCCACATCATAACACCTCCAAAACTCTCAAACGACTTGCTATATGCGATCACGGGTTCCAGCTCCGACGCTGGGATATAGCCCGTACTCGCGGCGCTCGTGTTCGCCGGAACACCAAGCAAGACCTTGGCTTTCTTATTCTGGGATACGGTTTTCGCCCAGTTGTCCCATTGCTCAAAGTTGAAGCTGCTTTGCTTTTGTTGGCCTGCTGAGAAAGAGTTTACTCCGCACCAGTTGTTGTAGAATTGAACGAATACTGCGTCAATGGATACGGGCCCGTTGAGTATATCCTTGTCCGCTGCATCTGGATACGGACATTGTGGTGCAGCGGTTAGAAAGTATTGCTTCGATTTGTCCGCGTCTGACAATTCGCGAAGCCGGTTCGCGAATGGTGCCATATTCGTCACAGGTGCCTCGAAATCGAAGTCGAATCCATCAATGGTCGCGTCACCAAATGGTCGACGGATCGTTGTGGAGTTAGCTCGGACTGCGTGGATATCAGTGCTGTTGAGACGGTTAAGACGGTTAAGACGGTTGAAACGACCATTATGGTAGCGAGACGTTCCATTATGAGAAGAGGCATTCAAAAAAGGGCCCTGGGTTGTGGGAGGACCAAACGTCTTCCAGAGGAGGTCTGCGCCAGCCTTTGCCGCGGATTCGGATTGAAAGCCTCCCTCACTATACGTAGCACCACCAATAGACAGCAGGATGGTCTTTCCTTTCTTTTGGCAGGTGGTGATATCCGTTCTGGTGTGATTAGCTATGCCCCACACTAAATGAAGCTCAGATGATGTTGTACGTACCCGATCTGGGGGCATTTCAGGAGGTTTGTGCCATCGAAGGTGGTGCAATTATCATTTGCATTGGAAAAGTCTATCTCCGGTGCACCCCCTGGACCATTAATCGTCATAAGAAATGCAAGTACAATGACCTGACAGCAGGTGAGCGACATTCGTCTAGCTCTCTAGTAGCGGGAAGCCTCACATCAATGTTCTCATCTAGAACTAGTTAGTGTCTGCATTAAATGGAATCACCATGCACCGGATCGGTCTTACCATTACAGTAGTACCCCAGTGACTGTTGTGCCAATTCTCCCTTTCCCTTGAACGAGTTCTGACCTAAACCACAAGCCGGCGTAAGTAATATCCAGCTCAAGTGTTTTTTTGTTATACGCACCCCAATATACAACGACATTAGAAGTGGAAGAGAGATCGAGTTTGGCATATGCTCCTCCTAAAGAGGCTGCGGCCATCGTGAAGGCGAGAAGACTCTTAGCGAAATACATAGTCCCACGTTTGATTTCTTTTCTTTCTTTCTCCCCAACAATGAGTGTTGAAGTGTTGAAAGCGAGTGGCTGCTACAATCCTCCCAGCAACCGAAATCATAGAGTGGCCGAACACGCTGACTTTCTGGCGCCACCTAATTGTCGAATAGCCCACACCTCAGGAAATAGGCGAATTAAGATTGCTAAGAGTGCATGATAGCTTACTTTAAGTCTCACACCCCGTGTTATGGCTGCCAAAGAATGATTAGCATTGCTGTAAATGGAGACCAGGAACATTCCAAAAGACTGCCATGGTTTAACCAGAGTTTCCACAAGATTGAACGTCCTTCGCGCATAAGGTAATGATTCTCTGTAAGTCTGTAGAGGCCATCTTTCCAGTTACCCCAGTTTGCTTGTGTGCATTTCTTGATCGTTGTCAGGCATCTAGGGATTCCGGATTGTGGAATGTTTCCTCCCCTTTTGGGAGTACGTACACGTTCATGATGGCCCACATATCGATAGCTCCTACATAGCCCGAGTATTACTGAAAAGTTTTAGCTAACTCTTCATCAAAACAAGCTGAGCTCTTATGGTTGTTGTTTGACTCCCTCGGCCATTCAACAACTTCAATTTCAAAGTCATAAGTCATGAACCCTTGCGTCTTGCGAGTCATGCTTACTTATAATTCATACAATCTCATGTACCACCTGGAAATGCAGGATCAATAATTTTATTTTCCAGGTATAACAGCCAACCCCCGCATGATAAGACAGTACAGACTTTTCTTGGTGTAGGCCTACTGCTGTGAAATATCAGGCGAGCACGTCCAGCGGGGACTATTAAATGTTAAGCCGTTGACCGCGTATGCATCCCGCTGTCAGCCATAAACGGTGCATTAATGTCAGAAGGATACACGCAATCGAATGAGCAAATTAATGGACTAGAGTCCAATCTGCTATCTCTCTAGCAAGACTTTAACCGAGCCGAGGAATGCTAATGAATGTCGCCCTGACGATGATTCCTTTTATATTCCGTTCCCAAGGAAGTAAACGTATGTTCAGGGCTATACGCAAACCAAGCAGTCAATATGTCGTCTGAGAGATAGTAAGGTTGACTGCGGCTCGTGTTAGGAGGGAAGGGTGAATTTTATATTGGAGTAGTATGTGCTTTGAGCAGTATTTTTTACACCAGTTGGAGTTTCGGGCTTTGAATGTGCCTTGAAGACCAAGTATTTCACCCCGAGGAATGAATGTCCAATAAGATGTGCGCGACTTTTCAACATCATCGCCCAGGCCCAGCCTACCGATGAACTCCTACAACTCGTGTAACAGCCTCATCGTTGCTCATTGCGCTATCAATCACCCCTGCCACCTTGAGAACATCCACTACACCCTCGATAGTTTTCCGGTTCACGCCTCTTGTGCCATGGACGAATTTGACATCCTTCAGCCATTCCGTAGCATCCTCCTCTACATAAGTACATCCCAGCTCTCCAGTACCAAGTAGCTTCACAGCCTGCGTTGTATCGGCCTCGAAATCCTTGATACCTTGGTCCAAGAGCTCAAACAGTTGCTGCAGCTTACCATCAGCCTCCGGGTCTGGGAATACAGCTGTTGACGCCACGATCATCCAAGACGGCCACGGTGTGTAGATCTCTCCAATATTCTTGAGTGGCGGATGGGGCTTCTCAGCTGTCGGGTGGAAGTACGGCTTCGTGGTGAAATGTTCCCACATGAAGAACTCAGCAGTAGGTTCAGGCTTCTCCGGGTGCGAAGCATCGTACCCAGTTACTCCGTTGCGCAAAGCCTGGAATGGTCCCAACGGAACGCTAGTCAAGGAGTCGGATTTCCAGCCGTGCTTCTGGGCAAGGACGAATGACATGATGTGAGAACCACTTGAGATCTATTAGCACATGGGTTTATCCCTTTCAATGTTCGTCCCAGACTATACTAAGCACGACAATCATGCATACCTTCCCAGTCGACTAACACCAACCCGCCTGTCCTTCAAGTCGGCAACACCATGAAGGTCCGCTCTCTCTCGTCCAGTGACAATAGCCCAGCGTAATGGTGTAGCAACCCATTCTCCGACTACTTTGAATCCGCCCAAGGCTGCAGCTTTCTGCGCTTGCTGTTTTCCAGCCAGACCAGCAACCCAACCTTCAGTCAACCCAATTGCGATGTCAATTTCTTTCTCGCGCAGGGAGGTGATCATATGTCCCGTCCCGGATGGGAACGGAACTATAGAAATCTTGAACGGAAGGGATGCGACCGCGGGAGAGCGGAGGGCAAGGTGGAGAGGAGTGAGGTAGTGCTCTATGATCTATAGTGTCAATGATATAGATTACAAGAAGTTATTTGTATAGAACTATGGGTCTTTCTATTCAAGCACATAGCGTGGTATCGTGAAAGTTGCAGTTTACCTGGTACATATCCAATTCGGATGGTTTCCGTGGCTGAAGTCATGATGTTTGTAATTAAGGAATGGAAGAACTTGATTTCCCAGGCGATGAATTGGTTGTGGAGTAATGAGATTTCCTTTATTGGGGATTATTGGAGGGGGAAAAAGAAGATGGACTTGAACCATAAATAAAGTGGGGGAGAGAACGCGGGGCATCACGTCAGCGTACAATAATTTAAATATTTACTTAAAATATAAATATTGATTTAACGTCCTCAAATGGGTAGTCTTATAGATCGATATATTCCCTCGTCTATCCCAACTCATCATAGTCCGAACAGTAACCAAAAATATTATTCACATTATTCTACCAATTAGTCTAAGTAAAATCTCTCTAAAAAAAAAAAAAAAAGGAAAAGAAAAGAAAAGAAAGATACCTGGGTTCCCAGTATTTACAGTGCATCAAGCACCAGGGAACAGCAAGCGGCCGTTACGTATTTAAGTCATCCGGATGTCTTTCTCCTCAACAGTCCAGTTCCCACTGGATTCCCTAGGGCTGCCAGCAGCCCCAAACGAGGCTTTGGAATACATCCAAAACTGTACCCCGAGGTACAAATCACAGACGCACTGGAACAAGGCGCATAGGCGGAAAGCCCAGGGAATTACCTCCTGACTGCAGAAGAAGTAACTCAGTTTCATCAGATCACCGAGGATCCATGCGGCTACAACCGACAAACGAAATCCTTTGCACGACCGTGACAGATGGTTAGCAATAATTTGAGGAAGAGGCAGGGTAGCCTCCACAGCCAAACCGATATATCCGAGGCAGTTGATGTAAAAGTCGGACTGAGCAATTGGAGCTAGGCAGATCTGGATAAATGAGAGCGCAGCAATGAAATAAGCCAAAAACATCCAATACCTAGTATCACCGGCAAAGTAAGTTCCCACACATATTGATAATTTAAACGGCATCCGGTGTACATACGGCTTTGCGCTCTTCCACTGCCAGAAGTCATAGGGCCGAGTAAGTCCGCCGCCATTACTGACACTACTGAACGGAACGTGCTCGAGACTGTTTTTCACACCGGGGGCCGGCCGATTATCCAGCGCAACCTTGAGCATAACCATTTGGACCCCAATCATGATAACGGCTTGCACCAGCAGCGTAAAAGAATAGTTGTCGCCAAACCAGAAAAATACTCTAAGCCCAAGGGTCAATTCCAAGCCGTTCAGCGCAGTGCGAAGCGGACAATATAGTCTTACTTCAAGATAGACGCGACCAGCATGATCAGAGGTATATCCAACGAGAAACCAGCGGAACTCCTATTCCGATGAATACTGAGAATTTGATCCGCATAGGAGGTTACGGGAGATGTTATAAGACTAGAGCATAAGAATCCACGGTCAGCTTTCTAAGGCTGTTGTCCAAAGTGCGGAAGATTGGGGAGAAAGATTTAACCCACAAGAACGGCGCTCCATATTCCAGAGCGAGAGAGACAAGATACATTGTGCAGTCAGTCGGTCGTCAAATGCGCTATCAGAGCCTCGAGTAAGGACAAAAGAACAAATCCCAGTTGTCGCTGCGGGTATCCGGTCTTATCCCGTGAACAGACGGAGATTTGTGGAACGCCCCGGAGGTGAAACTGCTGATTAGGGGCTCGATATAAACCAGGGCTAGTAAAAATTGCTCGGGCTGCGAGGATGGATCTTGATGGAGTAAGAATAAATCGTAGTCAATCGAGCCAAGCAAAGCCGGACTAAAAGCTAGAAAATTGTTCGATAACCCCGTAGCCAATCTCTCTAGTGGAACATTTTCGCGACTGGCCGCATGCGTGCTTTCTTTTTTTGTCCCTGAGGCTTACTCAGCGGGTCCCACTGGAGACCTTAATTTTGCTTGATTTACAAACAATGAATTGTCATGAGCTATAAGGATTTTCCAAGACATGTCTATAAATCATAAATTGCTATTGATCCTTTATTTATCTTGACAATAAATAGATAAATAAATAAACAAGCGGGTCTACATGCGTTCCCATTACTGCCTTTTCGAAAGCTCAGAACTCGATCCTCCAGGTCTTTCCAATGCTGACAGTAGGATTCTTTACCACGGCATATGGGGCCTTTCCGTCCGGCTGGGCATGGTACACCATGGCCGCTGTGGACGCAGTCTTGGCACCATCTTCAATGACAGTCACTGTGGACTTCTCCTGCCATTCTTTCGGCGGATCAATAACCACCACTCTTTCAACTCGAACGTTTGCCATGGCCTTGAGGTATTCGGCTGTCTTGGGGCCCTTAGTTCCAATGTCTTCCGACGACAGAGTGGAGTCATGGAAGTGGAAACGACGATGAATGTACGCTCCTCGTTCATAATCAAACGTCTCACCGTCATCCACATACAGCGTGCCATCTGCCTCTCCGTTCTTGTCTAACACAACAACAAGAGTATACGGATCCCATTTCATCAACCCACTACTGCGGCGTGGTCGGTCCTTACGAGGAACCACATGGCCACCCTGCATTAAAACGGGTACTTTCTCAAGAGGTGCAGGCACCTCGTGTCTCTTACCGGCCCCTTGGTAGACCGTGTAATCGAAGTAATCGTAATACTTCTCATCATCGGCGAGATAGATGTCTACAGTAGTTGCTCCCTCGGAGACTACTGGCTTCGTAAGGATACCGGTAGAGCCGAGGTAAAGTTGGTCATCGATGACAAAGCCTGCTTCGTCCGAAGGATGAACATAGAACTGGGGTCTCACGATCGGCGTTCCATTCACCGAAGCTTCGTGGAAGGCAGTGTACCAGGCAGGTAAGAGCTGGTATCTTAAACGAATGGCCTGGGCAATGATAGACCTGTGAGGCTCGCTGATCAAATACGGTTCACGCCGACGAGTATCTATATGTGCGTGCGCACGGAAGAAAGGATACCAGATGCCGGTCTGATACCATCGTGTAAGAAGGTCCTTGCTCGGGTTATGGAAGAAACCACCAACATCAGCTCCTGCGAAGGGGAACCCAGAAATACCATTGTTCAAAACCATGGGCAGAGAGATGGCCAGGTGTTCCCACGTTGCCTGATTGTCGCCAGTCCACATGGCAGACATCCGTTGGGCCCCAGCATAATACGACCGTGTCAAAATGAACGGCCGACGAAGCTCGCCTTTCCTCCGTTCCAACATCGCATTGTACGTCGCATTCACAAACGTGATACCATTGACATTATGAATGTCACGGTGCTCCCAGTTGCCATAATGAAGGTTATCTTTAGGCATGGTGGTCTCCGGGCCGTTGAACACGGATGGCTCGTTCATATCGTTCCAAATGAAGACATTCGGAAGTGTGCCCTTGAACTTATCATACTTAAACAAGCCTATCCACCACTTGATAGCCTCCGGATTGAAGCAGTCCACCCAATGAGAGGAACCTGGCCAACACCAGCCCTCGTAAATCTCACCATCCTTGTTCCGGGTGGCCAGATTCTTGCTCTTAAGCTCCTCCGAGATGGTATATTTCTCCTTATTCTTGATATGAGGGTCGATGATGACCACAAGCTTGCGTTCCGATTCATCAAGGTGTTCCTCCATACCAATCGGGTTAGGAAAGGTCAGCGGATCCCAGGTGAAGTATTTCCTGTCATCAAGATACTCGATATCGAGCCAGATAACATCATATGGAATCTGATACTTGTCAAAATTGCGATCGACATCTTTTACATCTTCATCGGTGACGTAGTTCCAGCGACACTGATGGTATGCGATAGCAAAATGCTGAGGCAGCTGAGTATAACCAGTGAGTTCACCATACGTCTTGCTGATATCCTGTGGTGTAGGTCCTAAGAAGACAAACACGTCAATTTGTCCAGATTCAGAAAACCAATGGCTTTGAGTGTCGGTTTTTGAGCCCACCCCTAAAGAAAGTGGATTGGCGGAGGATGTCGACTTTACAATGTCCACCCATGTCTCGGCAGCATTAAGCCAAAACACACCGACAGTAGAGCCCGGTCTGTGCGCTTGCATAAGCGGAATTGCACCATACAGAGTCATAGGACTGTTGAGCTCGTATTCAAACACGTCGGAGTTGTACATGCGATAAGGCTCTTCATGGTTTCCGGAACCACCTCTATCGAATCATTAGCTTACGTTACAAAACAAGTTAGAAGATTTGATGGCTTTTACCTGGTCTCCCTTAAAGATAGCGAATCGGCATGCTCTGGGATACCATAAACATGGCCGTAGCCAGGAAATGTGATATCCAATCCCACACTCTCAGGGCCTTTTGGTTTTGTATCTGTGTTTCCACCAAAAGTCTCTTCCCACCACGTGCTCTCATCTTCCTGGGATTCTGTGTTCTGCTCACCGTCACCCTCGGAAGTATCCACCTTCCGTCGCCAATGCTCCATGTTCAGGTATCCTTTGTTATTCAGATGAACATGAGTCTGTCCATCCCTTTGAAACTCTACGTCAAAAGGAGAGTGACGGATGATTGCTTGAAAGTTATTCGCTGGCCCGTATAGAACTCTGGTAATTCCTTTCTCCGATTCGAAATCCAGGGTCGCAGACTTGCTCAATTCCAGGCCACCAACTAGGACCCATTTTTCCGCTTCATTATATCTTTCCTTGCGAGCCTGGCTGTCATGGCGAAGCTCGATTTCCTTGTTCAAGCGTTTTTCCTCATCGATAACGACTCGGGCAACTCCAGACTCGAGGAAGGACACGGTGAGGGGTAACTTGACCTTTTCCTCGGCGGATACTGATTTAAGAATTGTTCCGTGCAATTGACCGTCCTTGAACTGAATAGATGAAGTATCAAGTTCATATGGTGAGCTCCAACCTGAGCCCTTGGCGGCGACATCGTCGGCGTATGCCCTGTTTCGTTTACAGAAACCGGATTGAGAGCATTTTTTGAAATTCTCGTGCTTTACAGCGACTGAGTTTAGCCGTTAGCATCATTAAAGCTTTGGGGCCATGTGTGTAAACAAAGCTCACCTCCGGATATGACAAGACATCCGAGTAGGATAACCAAAGAAAGCAATAGGGTCCAGCAAATGGACAACGGCCGCCTCCCGGCCATCTTTGAGCTAACAAATGCGATCAGAGACACTCAACCTCTGAAAGTACAATACTTGTCAGCCACTATGTGCTGACCTGCATCTACCCGAGCTGGAGATCCGACACACGAAGCTGTTACGTTTCTTAGATCGTTGATAACAGAACAATGGCCGTTAGTTCCAGGCTGGCCAGATGGGCGGCGAAGATGGGGAAGCTCCAGATTGGGTTAGGGCGGCGCTATCCCTGTTAAGGCGGCTGGGGTCAGACACCTCAGGTAGTAAGGCAATCAGGCAAAGCTGTGGCCGGTATCAGCCAACGACAGCCCCTCGTGCCCCACCGTTGCGGTCCTTTCGTTGGTATATTTTCGGCCAACTCACACCAGCACCTCTGCTTTCCTTTTCCTCTCCCTCTCAATCCTATCTCTTTGATTCAATTGTCACCTTTGACATCATAAATCTTTCAAAATGTCCGACGAGCAGACGTAAGTCACCCCAGACCTTCACCTAATCCCCTCCATCCCTACTCCCTTTGCCCTGGAATTTTTTCTTCTACTTTTTTTTCACCTACCGGTTGCCCCTCATTGTCTAGTCAAACTAACCAATCGATGTAGCTTCATCGCCATCAAGCCCGACGGTGTCCAGGTATGGATCTCGAGTCACCCGATTCCTGTCACGATCCATACGGATATCGCTCGCTCGGGGTGAAATCAATACTAACCATGTCACCTAGCGCGGACTCGTTGGCCCCATCATCTCTCGCTTTGAGAACCGTGGGTTCGTATTCTTCCAATCCCAACAATGTACATACGAAATTTGGACTAACGAATCATAGCTTCAAGCTCGCTGCTCTGAAGCTCTGCTCCCCCTCCAAGGAGCACCTCGAGCAGCACTATGCTGACCTCAGCTCCAAGCCTTTCTTCCCCGGTCTTGTCTCCTGTAAGCTCCTTGCCATGAATAGAGGCCAACACCTTGTGCGGAGATACTGACATTTACTTCTAGACATGCTGAGCGGCCCCATCGTCGCCATGGTCTGGGAGGGCCGTGAGGTCGTCAAGACCGGTCGCAGTAAGTTCTCGTCCACTATAATTTTTGAAGACCAAACGCTAAGATAGTTGTTAGCCATCCTCGGTGCCACCAACCCTCTTGCCTCCGCCCCTGGCACCATCCGCGGTGACTTCGCCATTGTAAGACACGTCCCCTTCCGTGACCCATAACACTCTGTGCATGACACTGACCCTTGTATAGGATGTTGGCCGCAACGTCTGCCACGGCTCCGACAGCGTCGAGAACGCCAAGAAGGAGATTGCCCTCTGGTTCAAGCCTGAGGAGCTCCAGAAGTACAAGCACAGCCAGTTCGACTGGATCTACGAGAAGGCTTAAATTTCTCTGGTCGATCTTTGATCTGAAAATCTGCTCCCTGATACGGCTTAAACCGTAAGGACAGCAAATAAGATAAACCAGAAAAGACGTCCTGAGAAATAGAAATTATACAATATCTACGAGCCCAAGTACTTTGTACCCAACAATTTCATGTACTTCCCGGTTTTGGTGCATCATCATCACCAGTCCGGAATTTGTAGTGATACTAGAGACCCTCAAAACTCTACTTTCTCCCCAACAGCTTCTTCAGCCCTTTTCCCGTCGGTACCAGTATGGCTCGGGCAAACCAAGGCGTCGCCCAGACACTTGCAGCAATCCGGAGCGGCAGTAAAGCCTTGGTGACCGCATAGGCCGTCGCA